ACTCCTACATCTGTCCTCATTCTTTTCTCTTTTAGGAGCAGATAGAGTTATCGAAGATCATTGTGGCTTAATCAGGAATAATTGGTGTAAATCGCCACCAGTTCTCTTTGTAAAGTGACGACGGGTTATTATTACTGTTGCCTGCTTTTCGCAAATCAAAGCTAATTATCGCAACTAATATTATAACTGATACTGGCAGATGTAATCATATCTTCCGTGGGTTAATCGTACGGTTAGACGTCCTCAATAAAGGGAATGCTGAAAGGAGGTAGAGTCAGAGGTATACCGAACTTATGTCATCCTAATGTTTTCTACTTTTCAGTAATGCGGACAAAAGAATGTTGTTTGTTCAATTCGTCTAAGCGTCCATATTCTCTAAAACGAATAAGGAAGCGCTAAGAAAACGAATGGCACACTGATTTCAAGCCAGAAGAGGAGAGTGCCTAGGCTGCCTGAGAAAAGGCTTAAGATTAGGATGAATTTCGCAGTACAAATTTTCTCAGTTCACTTTCGGAAAGTGTTAAAAGTCATTTCATACATTAAAAATTTCGTTTTTCAAACAGTCAACAATGAAATTTTAATGCATGAAATGACTCTTAGCACTTGCCAAAAGTTAACTAAGAAAGTCGGTACTGGGTACTGCAAAATTCGTGTTTCTCCAAATCTGATTAGCTAACAGAAAAAGAAGTCTATTACTACTGCAAAGAAGAGTAAACCCCCCCCCAGTTTAGAAGCCCCCGGGGGCTTCTAAACTGTCCACCATCCAAAATTTTCGGAGGGGCTTCTATTACGTCCTCAAATTTTTCAATAGTTTTAGATGAAAAATTTTGTGTATTTATGAGCAATAATTTTGAAAAAAATTATAATGATTTTACAGGAGCCTATAACATTATTATTTAAATTTAATAGAAAGAAACAGAAGTTTCTTTTTTCAAATTTGTTTTATTTTATTTCATATCGATATTTCGAAGAATAAATTTTCATTATCGAGATATAAAATGAAATTATTACAATAATAGAAAACTTTGCATGTAACAAAATAAGAACAAAGAGAAGAAAGAGAGAGACGTTTATGACGAATAGAAATGAATTATGGGTCAAACAGACTAGCCGAATTAAAAGTGATTTAAAAAATATGATTGATGCTGCTTCGTCGAAACACCAATCATGTTGCTTAATTCAATTTGAATTAATTCTTCGTCGTGTAATGCGTACAAGGTCTTATAAACATCTCTATAAAATATAGAGAGATAAACAGCAGCTTTTATTTATCTCTTTCCATATTTTATAGATGTGTTTAGAATTCATTTCTGTTGGTTCTAAACATCTCTTTGTTCTTATTTAGTTCGATGTAAAATTTTCTATTTTCATAACAATTTCATTTTATATCTCGATAATGAATATTTATTCTTCGAAATATCGATATTAAATAAAACTATGCAAAAATTTGAAAAAAGAAACTTCTGTTTCTTTCTATCAAATTTAAACAATAATGTCATATACTGCTGTAAAATCATTATTGTTATTATATGGAAAAAATTTTCAAAGAGCCTCAGGGATTTTTATGGTTTTAAGAGTGGTTGCAACGACTTTCTAGGAGATTTTTAATTTGTTATGCTAGTAAATAAGAAAACAGAACAAATTTTTATCTTAAGATCTTGAATTTTGAAAGTTTTACAATGAAAATACCATTAGAAATTTTGCAAAACATTTTTTAAAATGGGGGGCTTCTAATACATCTTTCACGTTATAGCTTCTGAAGGGGGCTTCTAAGAAGGGGGGGGGGCTTGTAATATGGGAGGGGTTTACTTTGGAACTAACGAGAGGACATTCTCAGTGCCTCACTCCGATTTCGTTCGTTCATATATCAGTCGATAGGAAACCTCGGTTCGATAAAAAGCTTAACAAGATCTCATGTCGATGGCTTCTCCTTTGGGATTTACGGAGGTTTTACTGAAGTTTTGGCCTGTAGCAAAGGATTTCCGAAAAATCCGAATTCAAGAATTTCAATCTAAAATTTTGCCCATGAATAGGTCTACCAGTCATTAGAATCGTCTGGAAGTTTCACGCAAAACAGGTGTTTCTTTCTCAACGAGTTGAATTTTCCAATAAAGTTGATTTGTGTCACCTCTCTGTGAAAAGTCATTATTTTTTGAAAATTCAATATCTCGAGAAAGAAACACTTGTTTTGCGTGAAACTTTCAGACGATCCTAATGACTGGTAGACCTATCCATGGGCAAAATTTTAGATTGAAATTCTTGAATTCGGATTTTTCGGAAATCCTTTGCTACAGGCCAAAACTTCAGTAAAACCTCCGTAAATCCCAAAGGAGAAGCCATCAACAGGAGATTCTGTTAAGCTTTTTATCGAACCGAGGTTTTCTATCGGCTGATATATGAACGAACAAAATCGGAGTGAGGCACTGGGAATGTTCTCTCGTAAGATTAGCTGATTGAAAACTGTAAAATAGATTTCTATCAGCACAGCAAGTTACATCTTAAAACCAAAAAATGAAAAAACATGGGTAAAATTTTCACTGACAATCTAAACTATTTTTGGCCCTTAAAAGAAGCTCGGTAGAATGCGAAGACGTTTCTTATCGAATATGAATTCTGCAGCGGTTGTTATGCATGTTCGCTGCAAATCACACTCTTAAAAAACATAAGATGCAAAACTTGTATCTAAAGAAAGAATCTTTGAAGTTTAATACAGGCATACTCACGTTGAAAAGAATTGGGCAGTCTGGCAACCTTTTATGAAGTCGGTAGGTCTGTACGAAACCTCAAAAATTCTTTCTTTAGATACAAGTTTAGCAGTATACTCTTTTCTAAGTGTATCTCGAAAGATAAAAGATATTTAAGAAACATGGACGAATGGTTCTGTCCTCTATTTGTGCCCGTCCACACGAAACTGTTGTATTGTGACGAGATGTTGGAACATACCTCATTTCTAGCATTGTCACTCGACTGTGTCAGGTTCCCGATTTTTTCGTTCAGATCTGCAACTTGCGTCTTTAACCTTGCATTTTCTTCCCGCAACCTGTTAACTTCAGCTGAATATTCGCCACTTCCATTCGAGAAGTGCACTCTTTGAATTCTTCGAATGATGGCACCAGAATTTGGCGTTGATCGATCGTCTGGCAAATCGAGTACCCGGACACTTGATGACATATCCTCTTCCGAATCATCGACATTGATGTAATTATGTGATGGAGATTGCATGAGGGTTTTAGTTTTAGTTGTTGGTTCGTTTCGGTTTGCACCGCCATTCGAGGAGTCAAACTGTGTTCCTGTTTCTTGAGTGGGAACGATATCACACTTCGGAACTGTATCCATATATCAACGTACTAAAACTTACGAAAATAAAAAAGATAGTCGTATATTTCAAGAAAACTTATAAGCTCTCTCTTTCTCATACAATAAAACCCCTCCTCATATCAGAAGATATCATCTTTCCCAAAGGTATAGCTCCCTACTAATTCGGTGATTTTTACAGAAGGAATAGACAGAAATTTCAAAATTTTGATGAGTCTTAACAGAGACTTAGACTCCTCTCGTACGAAAGACAGTTATAAAAACGTATATGAACGACTTGTGTGCCAATTCTAGTTCAAGTCGAAAAACCGTAAAAAGAGTATGGTGGAGTGTGAGATGTGGATGTGGGGTGTGGATGTGAATGGGTGTGAGTGTGGCATGTTCTTCTCTTCACCCACACTCACCCCACCCACACCCACACGCCCACATTCACACCACACCCACACCCACACACGCATACCCACACCACACCCACACTCACACTCACACACGCACACCCACACCCACACCCTGTTGTTAAAGAGATATTAATATAATATTCACATATCATAGAAAAACAACTCTTATCACCATCTAGAGCGAAAGTTCGTTTAAACTTCTAAATAACGTATTAAAATAATACGCGGTGCAAAAGTCTTTGGGAAAATGTCACACTCTGTTAGACCATATTGCCAACTTCTAAGCCAATTAAATTTTTTTTTCGAAAGAGTCATGTCTGAACTACAAATTTTTTATGAAACATATTTTTCCAGAATGAATCTAAGAAGGAGAAAACGCCAAAAACAAAACACCTCTAAACAAGTTTTTGTAACATCACCATCGCGCATCATCAGTTTCTATTTTAGTTAAACTTTTTATATTAGAAGTGAAATGGAAAACCATGTATAATGGTAAGTTTTGTAGCGTTAAGAGTGCTCTTTCCAGTGGCTTATTGGAAGTTAAATCTACTCTTAGTTTTTATATCAAAACATAGCCATTTATGAAAGATACTGTATAACTTAGTCGCTCTCACTAATTGACCGTTTTCCAACAATAAAAACTATTTTTTGAATTATTTTGTGCTACTAAGTAACTATGATCTGACATATTTCGAACAAATAACGCACCAAGAATTCAGTTCATGCATGAATTCTGGAGATAAGAGGCTGATGTTCTTTTAAATTGATCATTCTTGCAAAACTCGATTTTACAAAAATTTTAAATTCCAAGTTTTTGTGAATACATTATCCAGAACGCATCTAAGAAAATTTACCAAGGCTGACATCAACTGAGCTTT